ATGAAGGGCAGTGCGAGAAAGATAAATAGATCTATATAGTTATAAGAGTACTATATTTTTGTTAAGTGTTCCAGTATTTAAGGAATTATACTTGTAATTCTGGGAGCCAGCAATAAAAAAAAGGAGGATAAAATGCTTATATGTAAATTATAGTGAAATTCTGATAAAAATATTCAAGTAATCCAAAAGAAGGCAGAAAAGGAGAAAACAGACAAAATCAACAGGAAAGAACCAACAGAAGATAATAAATCTAAACATTCTCGCACTAAGACTAGATAAAAGCAGAAGACTCAATTATATGCTCTCTACAGGAGACCTAAAAAAAAAACAAAACTAAAAACAAGACCTTAAGATATATGAATTTAAAAAGGTAGAATTAAAGTTAGAAATAGGCAATGCTGTAATATTATGAGGAAATTTTAATACCAGAGTCTCAGAAATTGGTAGCACTAGACAACCATCAGTAAAATCACAGAGAATCTGATAAATGTTATCAACCACCTTTATCTGTAAGTCTAAAAAATAAATAGATAAACATAAATGAACAGAATTATATGGGAAATACATCATATCACTTCTTTCAAAATTTAAATACAAAACTAAAAATTAGTAAAGATTTAAACCATGCAAAATACAATTTCAAATTTGACCTTTATATAACAGTTAAGAAATGTATATTCTTCTCAAGCACATTTGTAATGTTATGGTAACTGTCTATGCACTAATGATAAAACAAATCTCAGTAAATTTTGTAGAATTAATATCATAACAGGATGGCAGTTTAGTGGGAAGTGGAGGTTCTCACAGCTCTGTGACTTGGGATATAATCAACAATGTGTTAAATGGGGATTAAAAAACACTTTTTTATGCATAGATCCATAGATAATCAATATTGAGTATCCATAGATCCATAGATAATCAATATTGGACAGAAAGTCTTGAATGCTGGAAAAATTGGAGTACACCAGACAAGGCTAAGGAGCAGATTAGGAGCTGAGCTGGGGCAGGGCGGTGGGTAGAATACAAGATTTGAAAAGATCTACAAGTGCTGTAATATTTTGGCTTGGGGAACCCCAGGATCTGAGGTGCAGACAGCCCTGGGTGAACCCAGAGGCTATTCAGCCAAACATACTAGTATGCAAAAAGGCATGGCCAGGCAGCTGCCCACAGTGAGCAGCAAATACCTCCATGTAAAAGTGGTGCAAACTCAAACCAGGTGCTTAGATCTGCGAATTCAAGGCCAGAACCTGTAAATGAATCCAGCAGACCAACCGGGAGATCTAAAGTGAGCCCAGAGAATTAGAAGAATCTCTGGCACAGATATTTTCTGGCAATGAAGCCATTTTGCTTGGGCACATTACAAACCAGGCCAAAGGAAGCCTCTATCCCTTTGCTCACTCCACTGAACAAGCAAGAACACTAGCAGGGAGAAGAGGAATGGGCTGGGGTGCAGAAACAGACAAAACTCAGTGCTCCTCAACTGATTTGCTTGGGGCTAAAACAGACTCAAAAAAGCTAGAGAAAGCTTCCCACAAACAATGCACTGAATCCATAAGCAGGAACAGCAGCAGGGGGAAGACAAACAGGGCAGGGTGGAGAAAATAGAATAGCTCAGTGCTTAATCAGCCTTGTCAGGGAGTAATTCTGATCAGAGAGGTCAGAGCAAGCTGGAGTCCCACTCACCCCTTCCACTGACCCTGCAGCCCACAGCGAACAGAACCAGTGACAGGGAGAAACTGAATGGAAGGGAGTGTCTGAGTTTAATGCTTGAAAACCCCTGTTGAGAAGTCCCCCTAAAACCTCAGCATCCCCCAAAAACAGAACTGGTGAAGGACCAACTCCCTCTTCCCACAGGTGGTGCTCTAGGAATGCTGTGGGATACAGACCCAGAAGCAAGTTGAAAACTGCATCATAAAAAACACCTAGGGAAAAACTAGACCAAATCCATTCCCTGGGGAGCTTCACTGACAACAGCACAGATCTAAAGACATTACTCAGGTAATCAAGCTGCCAACATCTTCCACAGCTTCTCACACCATCCTGCTGTGAAGAACTGAAAGGCAGTTTGACACAGAAAATGGACATAAAAACAATGAAAAAACTTTCATTGACTATTTTGCTGTTTTGTTTTTGCTTTTGTTAAGTTTTGGTTTGTTTTTTAAATGTGTACTCATTGACAAATGATGGACATTTATGCATTTGTACATATATTCTTGTTTCTGTTGTTTTGTTTTGTTTTTAGCTTGTAGCATTCCCTTATGAAGGATATGGAAAATGACAACCCTCCAAAACCCTCTGATCTGGAGGAAGATGGAGGAGGAAGGCAACCATTAATACTCTTCCAATAAATCCTTTGCCAGTAACAATGGGCCCCTAGGGAAAAAAAAGCAAATTTTTATCCTTTCCCAGGTTCATCCCCAACATCTACCAAATGCAAACATGCATCCCTTCCCAACCACAATGGGTGCTGAAGGGAGGAGGCGGACACTGAAACCTGGCCCTGGACTTTTACCCTTTCCACTGCTGATGAGTCCTGGAAGTTGAAAAACAAATAATGAAGCTCTGGGAAACAATGAAATCCAGAGAAAGAAGGTAAGCAGTGAAAACTGAGTTCTGAGCTTTTCCCAGTGACAATGAGTTCCAGGCCTTTTACAACTTTTTTCCTGACTGCAAAACACATCTGCCTCAGTCTCCAGTGATACTTAATCAACCATCATTGTGTCCCATAAAACTCAAACCCCTTCTGTAACTGATGGCCATTTTCGTACCTTCTAGTGCCTGATCGGTGCTGCTGTTGAATAAAGGAAAGCTTGCTGATCCATTTGAGTTCTTCTTCGGCCCAGTTATTTGTGTTTTCATAAAGGTGCCAATTGACTTCCCTATTGACTATTTCACAACTATTTTCCTTTGTTTTTACTTTTCTCTTTTTTCTTGCCAACAGCCAAACTCTACTGCTCTTTCTTTCACTCTTCCTTTAAGTTTTACACTTCTATTCTTTTTCTTTAATTATTGTTATTTGGGTTTTTGTTTTGTTTTGTTTTATGTTCTTGTCTCTTAAAAATACACCCTACATCGCCTCTGCATAAACCTCACCCAGTTCTAGAATCTACAAACCTTTTTCTACTGCCCCATCTCTTCTTCCTTTCCTCTTACTCTATCTTCAACAGGAAATATAGACATACTCCTATATCCTATTTTGTTTCTCATTTCTACCATTTTAAGACTGATATTATTCATAGAACAATAATTTTTATTTCTTTTTTCTCACACTTATCAATTTCCCTCAACTCTCTTTCTTTTCCTCTGCCAACCTCTAATGCTCTCTCTTCCCCCTTTAACTTTTTACCTCTATTTTTGCATCTCTTCCCTCATAATCATCACACTCTACATCACTTCTATTATACCCCTAGCTATCATGTGAAATTGTAAATCCTTATGTAAACTTACTGTTTTCACCACGGACAAGAACTATTTCAACAGAAAAGCAGAATTATAGACAACACAAACTAATAAACATTTATAAGCTGTAGGGAAGGCCTCAAATGGCTATAGTTAGGCTCCCTTTCTGAGGCTTCTGATGGGCTATGTTTGTAGGGTGTAGTCAAGGTTATAAACATCTGAATGAGCATATGTAGTCAAGATCATAAACATTTGCTTGTGAGTATGTGTGCACTGATTTAATCTGTTGTCTATGGAAAGGACTCAGGGGACAAAACGGAATTGGCTGGGGGCTGAGGTGGATCTGGAAGCTGGCTAGAGGCCTCCAAATAAAGCATGCCTACTAGTCCAATTGCATCTTGCACCTCCTTCAACCTGTGGGATCCTGAATCTGTTTCCTGGGTCTGAGCCTCCACCCTGACACATGGTAAATATAAAAGTATCAAATATTCAATCACCCAAAAAGAATTAATAGAAGTTAAATTTTGATGATATATCGAATTAAGTATAAATTGAATACATCATAATACTTTTTTACATATAAAAGGTATGTGAATTTGGGGGAGGGGTAAGGGAATATGGAAATATCACAGAAGCAAACAGTCAATTCTAAGTTGCATGTATAGCAAATACCTATCCAAGGTTTCCATGTCAATCTCTAAAAAAAGCATTTTTAAGTAAGTGTATAAATGTAATGTAATCTCTACGTAAAGCAGTTAGGTTAATGTGGCAATAATTTAAGGCTTTGCATATAGAGCCTACAACTGTGGCACAAAAAATGGTAGATTGAGGGAACATGAAATAATATGACCTATGGATCACCTATTATAGAAAACATACCACTACTTTCTAAATGTCATATAATAATAAATACTCAGAAACTTCACAATAGTGTGTGTTTGATTAACTGTTATGTTTTGACCTTTCTATGATTACAAATAATCAATGGTATGAGGTAGACATGGAATTCAGATCATCACCAATAATATCTGAAATAATTTGGTCATCCTAATTATTGATATTTAGACATCTGAATTTTTTTATTCTCAGGTACAGCTCAATATAAATATTTATATAGGATCTAAATATCCATTTATGAAAGATAATATAATTAAAACCATAGTCTTCCTAATTAAGTGGAATCAAATGGAAGGAACAGAATTAAGTGGAAGAATCTATAAATCAATGCACAATGAAGTTGTATATGGATTAAGTCAGAAAGTCAGATCTATATAATACCATTCTTTTACTTGTTCTTCACCTCTTGAAACTGGCCTTATTTCCTGCATCATCTCTTCTGAGATATATCAATCATCCATTATCAAAATTTTTGTTGGGCCAGTCTCTGTGTAAGTATGACTCACAAAGTAAAAACATGGGTAAGAGTGAAACACAGAAACTTGGGGAATATTATGTGGGAATCTATAGAAAGTATGGAGATATTTAGAACCAGAAACCACATCATATTAAGTTTTTTTTTAACCAAACACATAATACCACTCCTCCAATTTCAAGTCAAGACACTATATCTCCAGTATTTATTTTGAAAGCAAACATCTTACCATGTGGAATTGTGGTCTGGAAAGGACGACTTGGACTTTTCAGGTTCCATAAGGTCAAGCTACCGTCTGAATGGCTGCACATGAACTGTTTGCCCTCATGATGCCAATCAATTGAATGAATTGCCTAATAACAATTAAAAACAAGTAGGAAGAGGATGAATAGATATATCATTTTATATTTCAAAAGAAAAATTTGAACATAAAATTACTGTACTAATAAACGTGTAAGAAACACTTTTTTCTCCTGACCTAGATCAGCCTATCTTTGGCTTCAACACTCTACTAACTTACAAAAAGGTTACTAAAATGCATCTCCTAAGATAAAGAAAATTTAAATAAATTTTTAAATATCATTAAATACCGGAATGTTTTGTTGGAAATCCTATGTCCTATGGATCTTATGTATCCTATTCCCATATAATGGGATGCTTATTTGAAAAAGCGTTTGCATAAAAATAAAAATAATATCAGAGAAAACATTTGGCAATTGTTTTGGGGAGATTGGCTTACTTCACTTAGCATTATATTCTCTAATTCCATCCACTTACCTGCAAATGCCATGATTTTATTCTCTTTTATTGCTGAATAATAAGGAGGCTGATTCATAGTGAGGTAGGGAGGGGGAACATGGGAGGAACAGATGAACTCTAGATAGGGTAAAGGGGTGGGAGGGAAAAGGAGGGGGCATGGGGTTAGAAATGATGGTGGAATGATATGGACATCATTACCCAAAGTACTTATATGAAGAAACAAATGGTGTGAATATACTTTGTATATATCCAGAAAACAAACAAACAAACAAACAAACAAAAGTAAAAGCAAGATTATCAGAAAACAATTTCTTGGAAAATAGAGGCTTAATTCCACTCAAAGTAGTCAGTTTAAAAAATCATTAAAGAACTTCTAAGGTTCCAGACCCCATGGTAAGCATTTTTATACATTATCTCATTTAATCCTTCAGAATACATATCAAATTTCTCAATTCTTCATAGTGAACCACACAATTCAAAGGCAGGATTCTCTAATTACAAAACCCATATTTTCAATCATTGCATTGCATTGCCGTTAGTACATACTATTTAAATTCACTTAAAGCAAGTGTTTTTTTTTTTTTTTTAATTTTCAGGTTTACTCTGCTCTTTTGATTAAAAGTAATTATTCCATTTTCCTAAAATGTTTTCATCCAGCACTAATAGTATCTTATATAAAGTACGTTTTCAAGAAATATCTATTGAATGAATAAATAATTAATGTCACACACAATTCCAAATCTTTGGTATTTTTTTAAAATTAATAAATTATCAGGACTTGGATAATGTGCTTAAATACAATGACAGAAACTCTAGTAGACAAAAAAGCAGAAAAAATGTATACAACATTTTTATCCTTACAGAAATTTCAAGAGGGAAGATGAATATAGATGAATAGTAATCATAACTCATTTGGACTTTTAATACACATATATAGATAAATACATATAACTATATATTTATAAAGTTACCTATATATTAAAGTTATAAACAGTTAAGTATTATTACAATTACAGATAACTGATGGCTAGAATAATCATTAAATCTATAGGAAATAAGGTATGAGTTGTGAATCAAAAGATAATTGAGGGGGCTGGAGTTGTAGCTCAGAGATAGATCACTTGCCTCGCAAGAATGAAGCACTGGGTTTGATCCTAGCATCACATAAAAACAAATAAAGGCACTGAGTCCATATATAACAAAATAAATAAAAATAAATAATTAATATTTGATGGAATGGTAAGGACACCTTGAAATTCTGGACTTGTGTTTTCTCCTACACTGGCCTTCATTATTATGCAGAGAATACTTTTTCTGCCAGTCTCCAGAAGAAGGAAAACATTCTTCACTGTCTTCCCCTCTGCTTTTTTCTTCTCCCTTCTATAGGCGGTATGAGTGAAATGTTATTCTTTTGTGTCACCTCCATATTAACTTTGATGAACCTCAATCAATTTACATTTCTTGAAGGTTGCTTTGGTCACCAAAGTTGGGGGAGGCAGAGAAAGCATTCCTTACCCTAAACCTTCATCATATTCCACTGAATTTCTATCCACTGGAGAGGACAGATGTAAAAATTATAGCCATGACAAAGCCAAAATAAATAAGTGCTTTAAATGAAGTATAATTATGTAGAAAAGAATAGGCTTATATAATCAGCTTGTTAGAGATTAGTATGACAAATAATGCATAAAAGAAAAACTGGCATGTGAACTGATTCAATCTTTATTTATTTGATCATACCCTACTCTTTTATTTAAAAAAATACACTTAAAGGGTTTATTAACAGTCAAATATATAATACAACTATTCAAGAAAATAGTTTTAAATATAGTAACAGAATTTGAAAGATAAAACACTACTTATATTTGGTCAACTCAGTGGCTGTGACTATTTCTTTAACATGGAAAAGAAAAAGAAAAAAAACAAAACCCCAAAGTTAAGGTAATAATCTATAAAAAGAAAATATATAGTTTTTTCCAGGAATTGAAAATTTTCCTCATGTCAAGTTCTCCATGAGAGATTATTTTTAAAATATAGACTTAATGGAACAAAAATTGATAGCTATTTATTTCTGATAACAATCTTAGATTTCTAAAATATCAAAATTCACTAATGATTATTCAAAAAGCCAGCCAGACAGTCCAAATAGCTTTCTAGTACATAAGAAATTAATGGAATTTTGATATTCAGATGCCAAGAAGAGAGTTCATGATAAGGAATGGTAGTAGTAGTAAAGGCTTGGTGATAAGAAATATGGTATGTTAGGAGATAGAAAGTGACATGTCTGAAATATGATGAGTGTAGAAGGATATAGTAAATTAAATGGAAAAGCACTCCAGCCCAAACTCTCATGTAACACAGAATTCATTGAAAAGGGAATCACTTAAAGGTTCTGAGGTAGAGAATTGCATGATTTTACTATTCTTTAAAATGTTAATCTTATTAGAGAAGGATATACTGAAAAGGTAAGATATCAAAAGATGATTAGTTTTTCCAGGCAAAAAATAACAACATAGACTAGGACATTGGATGTGAAAATGAGAAAACAGAGGAAATAAATGAGGCAATATGAAGATAAAATCAAAATGACTACAAAAGTTGATAGCATTAGATATACTTCATTTATTTTATTTTAATTTTCATTATTTTTTTCTCTCTCACTTATCCATTTCCTTCAATTCTTTCTCTTCTTTCCTCCGCTAACAGGTAACCTCTAATGTTCTCTCTTCCACTCTTTCTTTATTTTTTTTACCTCTATTTTTGTTCTTATTCCCTCATAATCATTACATACTACAACACTTCTATTATACCCTTGGTCACCACATGAAATTGTAAACCCTTGTGTAAACGGATTTCAACGTGGGTAATAACTGATCATATAATTTCTCAGTATTGTAACAACAATGTTTCTCAGTATTGTAACATTGAGCTATTTGGTTTAATGCTGTAAATTATTTTCACTGGTTGTTGTTACTGTCTGTCTCCCCCTAAACTGCAAGATACAGGAAACCCTCAGGGACACTATAATTCCACAAGGTAGAAACCCTAATGCTTCAAAATCAACTGTTAGATGGGTAGACATACAAACAACACAAAAAAAGCAAGGGTATAAATTGCCTTCAACAAACCAAAATACATCAAAAACAGAATCCATTGACACCACAGTGGAAGAAATGTCAGAGAAGGAATTTAGAATGTACATAGTTAAACTGATTTGCAAGATAAAGGATGATGTAAGGGAGCAATTACAGGTAACAAAGATAACTTCAATAAAGAGATTCTGAAGAAAACGAACAGAAATGCACAAAATGAAGGAATCAATAAATCAAATAAAAAACTCATTGGAAACTATCACTGGCACAGTAGACCACCTGTAAGACAGAGTCTTAGGCAGTGAAGACAAAATATATAATCCTGAAATAAAGTTGAGCATGCAGGAAAAATGTTAAAAAATCATGAACAGAATTTCCAAACTTCAAAATTTATTGGAATACACAAAGTCACAGAGATACAAACCAAAGGAATGCATAATCTTTTCAATGAAATAATGTCTGAAAATTTCCCAAACCTTAAGAATGAAATGGAAAATCAAATACTGGAAGTTTACGGGACCCCAAACATACAAAATCACAACAGACCCACACTAAGGCACATTATTTTGAAAATGCCTAATATAAAGAGTAAGGATAGAATTCTAAAGGTTGTCAGATAGAAAACTCAAGTGACATTCAAGGGAAAACCAATTTAGTTCTCTGTTGATTTTTCAACCCAGACCCTTAAAGCAAGGAGGTCATGAAATAATATATGCCAAGCTCTGAAAGAAAATGGAGATCAACCAAGAATAACATACCCTGCAAACTAAGCTTCAGATTTGACATTGAAATAAAAACCTTCCATGATAAACAAAAGTTAAAAGAATTTACAATCAGAAAGCTTGCACTACAAAACATTCTCAACAAAATATTTCATGAAGAAGAAATCAAAAATAAAAATGAAATCCAGAAAAGAGTAACTATACTAGAAGTATAGTCAATCAAAAAAGAAGCTATTTCAAATTAAAAACCAGTAAGAATTCAAAATGACAGGGAATAAGAATAATTTCTCAATAATAACATTAAATGTAAATGGCCTGAACACATCAATCAAAAGACATAGACTGGTAGACTAGATTACAAAACAAAACTCAACAATATGCTCTTCCAAGAGACTCACCTCATAGCCAAACACATCTATAGACAGAAGGTGAAAGGATGGGAAAAAACATCACACTCACATGGATCTTGCAAACAAGCATGGGTTTCTATCCTCATATATGAACAAGTGGACTTCAGGTCAAAATTAATCAGAAGGGACAAAGAAGGCCATTTCATACTGCTTTAGGGAACTACACATTAACAAGATGTACAAATCATGAATAATTATTCTCCAAACAATGAAGCATCTACATACATAAAACAAACCCTTCAAAAATCCAAGAATCAAACAGATCACAAAACAATAATACTGGGTGACTTCAACACACCTCTCTCACCAATCACTAGATATTCACATCAAAAACTAAAAAAAGAAGCCATAAAACTAAAAAGTATAATTA